GTGTCCTTCTTCATCTCTTATTATAGTCTTTGGTTTAAAATCTAGTTTGTCTGATATAAGTATGGTTACTCCGGCTTTCTTTCCATGTCCATCAGCATGATAAGTGGTTCTGCACGCCCTTACTTTCAATCTAGAGGTGTCTTTGGGTCCAAAAGGAGCCTCTTGTAAGCAACGTATCAATGGGTCTTGTTTTTTATCCATTCTGATACCGTGTGTCTTTTGATTAGAGAACTGTAGGGCACTTACACTCAGGGTAATTATTGAAAGATATGAATTTAGTGCCATTTTATTACCTATAAAGTCACTATTCCTGTATATTGTCTCTGTTCCTTTCTTTTTTTTTAAGATTTTATTTATTTTATTTGAGAGAGAGAATGAGAGAGAGAGAGCACATGAGAGGGGGGAGGGTCAGAGGGAGAAGCAGACTCCCTGCCGAGCAGGGAGCCCGATGCAGGACTCGATCCCGGAACTCCAGGATCATGACCTGAGCTGAAGGCAGTCGCCTAACCAACTGAGCCATCCAGGAGCCCTGTCTCTGTTCCTTTCTAGTCTTTGTTACTTTTGGTCTCTCTTTCCCACAGAAAAGCATGTGACTCTTGATCTCGGGGTCATGGTTTGAGCCCCATGTCGGGTGTAGAGATTACTTAAATAAATACATAAACTTTTTTTTTAAAGGGTTTATTCTGGAATGCTCTCTTTGGGTCTTATCAGTAGGGTGGCCATTAAAAGTGGAGACATCTATTATGGTCGCCACCCTGAATCCATGGCTCTGTTGCACCCTGCTGTTTAACCAGTGCTGCCAGGTTGATTCAAGCTGGAGCAAACCCCGAGTAACTGGTTATAGGAGTCAGCTACTAGCAACTAGAATAAGAAGACTGTACCCTTGCCCTTTATTGCAGGGCAGGAGTAATATGGAAGAAGAACAGGGAGGTGGCTTAGGATGATGAGTAGACAAATGGCTGTATAGTGAGTATTCTGAATGAGACATGTCATGAGACATGACACTTTTGTAGCACATGATCGACCTTCCATAAACTACAAAAGAACTTACTCTGTAAAGGCTTAAGGATTAGAACCAGGATTGGTCAGTGGCATTTACCAGGAGGCAGATTTTGGCTATTAAAAGGTGGAATGGACTTCCTTGAGAAGTGGATAAGTTTCTAGTCGCTGGAAATGTCCTCAGCTAGCTTCAGTGACCAGTGGGACAATCATAGAAGAGGCTCAACCCTCAGATGGGTGAGTCTGCACTATCCTAGGATACCAGGTGACCCAGCGGGTCAGGCTTCGTTAGCCATTGAGTATAGATGCACACAACCTTTTATAAATAGTGCGGCTCCCTAAATAATATGGGAACACTAGTAGGGTTCCTCTCCAAGCATCTGAACTCATTCCAGAAATTAGTTCCAGAATTAGTTCTTGCTCCCACCCTCAAATTTTAGCCTTCCACATTCTCCCCAATACCCAGCTCACTTAGCTTCTTCACCCTCCACCTCTGTTTTAGGTCTTTTTTTAATGGAGAACTTCACCTCTCTGACATCTTTAGTTTTCTCTTTTTTGGCCCTTTACTCAGATTCTTTCAACACATCAGGGTTTGACAGGTAATTTAGCGGACAGGACTCCTTCCCCTTTAGAAACAAAGGAGAAAGGGGTGCCTAGGTGGCTCAGTCGGTTAAGCGTCTGACTTTGGCTCAGGTCATGATCTCAGGGTCCTGGCATTGAGCCCCGCGTTGGGTTCCCTGCTTCTCCCTCTCTCTCTGCCCCTCCCCCAACTTGGGCACTCACTCTCTCTGTCAAATAAATAAAATCTTAAAAAAAGAAGTAAAGGAGAGGGGGCACACTATGAATATCCACCTATTCATAATTATTGATAGAGTCACAATAACAATTTTTGATCCTCTTCTGTTGGTGGACATATGAAAGAAAGGCCAGGACACAGGATGTGTGTAAACTTAGAAAGGGTGAATCTGTGACTTTTCTTCTCTGTGTCCTCTGCAGCTGCTGGATATAGCAGGGAAACTCCTGGAAAGACCGCTGGTAGCACAAGATGCATCTGAAAAATACTTGCTGCTCATCCAGATGTTCATCAAAGACCTGGATACAGTGAGGGCGATATACAGTCAGCGTGTCCAGGAGGAGGCAGAACTTGGTAGGTCTGTTGCCTGCAGATTTGGATGGGGGTAGTTGTGTTACCAGGAAGGGTGCAACTTGCTCCTCTTATATCTGTGAAATGGCCACGAGAGATCCATGATATTCTCTAAGAAAAGAAAGAGCAACCTTCTTGCTCGAAATTTCAGACCATCTTGGGTAATTGCAGAATTCACTAAACTGTGCATTTCCCTGTGTCTGGGGCTGAGATTGGTGGCCGACCCAGAGCAGTGAGGTCTTGCCTGCCTCTGGCTGAGACCTTAGCATATGTAGGAGTTGACCCTTGGTCAGTGTTGCCAACACTGCTTCATCTCCGACATACCTCAGTTCCACGGTAGAGTTTTACATGCCCAAGAAAACTTCCTGATCCCTTCCAAGGCCATAGCAGCCATGCTTCTGGAGGGAGGAACCAGCAGGAGCCCGACAAAGGGTGGCACCACACCGAGGTGTGATTTCTCCATTTTTTATGGCAATTCTTAGGTGCCCTGTCTTATCTGATTGAAAGTCAAACACAAGTCCAGTTCAGCTCTACAAATATTTCTTGAGTCCTTGCTAGGTGTGGACACATTTGTGGACAGAATAGGCAGAGGCAGTCCAGGGTAAGGGATAAACGAATTAATCCTGAAAGGAACACATCAGTATGAACGATATTAACAAGAACACGGAGCAGAAGTAGTGTTCAGCTTGCGTCATAAAGAATCGTAATGGCATAAGATGGCTTGTGGCTGGGAGATCTGAGGGAGCACGTGTGGAGTAGATGGCCTTGAGCCAAGCCCTGCAAGGTGGGGGGATGGATGGCCAAGGAGAAGTGGCGAAGGCCTCTGAAGCAGAGAATGAAGGAGAGGATGTGGAAGGTGACCGGTTGGACCTGCCTATAGCAGGTGTATGGAGGGAGATCAGGTGAGCCACGGAGTTTGGGGCTAGATTTAGGAATCTGGAATTCATTATTCAGGCACCAGGAACTTTTCCAAGGTTTTTAAGCAAGAGAGTAGCAGGACCACTATGTGGATAAGCAGGTTTCCTAGCGAGGTCATTCCCAGAAAATCTGTTGGCCTCAGCTTCATGTGGGATCATCGTCATGCCTTCTTCTGGTTCGATACAGAATCTGAAAGCTCACGTGCCTTCTGAGGCCTTATTAGTTTTCAACTGCTGCCCACCAAATTATTGTGATGTTTGTGGCTTAAAGAAAACAACACCCATCTTTTGGCTCACAGTTCTGTAGGTCAGAGCCCAGCTTGATGTGCCTTGTTCTCCACCAGGAGTGCCCCAGGGCTGACATCAAAGTGTCAGCCAGGCCAAGTTCTCATCAGGAGGATTTGGGGGGGAAATCCAGTTTCCAGTTCCTTTTATTGGGAGAATCCAGTTCCTTGTGACTGTCGGCCTGAGGTCTGCAATTCCTGGGGGTCAGGGGCACTTAGTGACTGGAAGCCAGTCCCCTTCCTTGCCGTGTGGCCAGGCTATGTGGCCACCTCCATCCTCAAGCGGGTAGTGGCACCCTGACTCCTTCTCATGCTTCCAATCCCTGACTTCTCCTTCTGCTAGCAACCAGAGAAGACACCCTCCTTTTAGAGGACTCACCTGATTAAGTCAGGCCCACCTGGGATCACTTCCCTTTTGCTCTCTAACATAACATCATCACAGGAGTGCTTTCTCATTGTAGCCCGTTTCCCAACACAGTAATGAGAAGAGGATTATGCAAGGCTGAGGGTCGTTAGTGTCATTGTAGAATTTTGCCGACCGTGGAGTTCAGGCAGAAAGTGACTGTATAGATCTGGGTTGAGTATAAGATATCAGGGAGTGGTGGGGTCTGTGGCAAAATAAAGGAAGAGACCACTATTCAGCTCCAGTTGCTAGTTAGAAGCAGTGGCTGATTCTCACCAAATCTTCCAACTGAGATTTATTTTTTATTTTTTTAAAGATTTTATTTATTTATTTGAGAGAGAGAGAGAATGAGACATAGAAAGCACGAGAGGGGAGAGGGTCAGAGGGAGAAGCAGACTCCCTGCTGAGCAGGGAGCCCGATGCGGGACTCGATCCCGGGACTCCAGGATCATGACCTGAGCCGAAGGCAGTCGCTTAACCAACTGAGCCACCCAGGCGCCCCCAACTGAGATTTAAAAAAAAAAAAAATCTAATTCTTCTTCAATCATGACAACTAATTATGAGCAAAGAAGCCCACTGCATGGACTAAAGGCTATCCAGACTCTGCTAACTCTGGTCAATCCACGTGGCCTGTCTCATAACCTTAGTGAATTCTCATAGAAACCATGGAAATTAAGCAGGGAAGATATTATTCCCATTTTATAGGTGAAAAAACCAGAGGCCCAACGGGATTAAATTGCCTGTTGAAGGCAGGGTTTTCAACCCTGAATGTACAATTGAATTCCTCTCCAGAGCTTTTGGGAAAATACAGACGACCAGGCCCCACCCAGACCGATTAAATCAGAAAGGCGAAATCCGGGTCCAAGCATCAGTAGTTTTAAAGAGCCCCCTAGGTGCAGCTGATACCGCCAGGTGGAAGGTCACTGGCGTGGAGCCAGAAGGCCAGAGAGCGCCGAGCTGGGAACCCCCATCCTCCGACTGCATTTAATGTTCTCCCCAAGGTCACTCCTCTGTACCCGAGCCTACACGGCGATCTCCCAGGAGCTCCCCCATTTCAGTGTGAGCCCAGGGTGACGTTAGCACGTGAAGGCACAGGACGCAAAACGCGGGGTAACTGGGGGGAGGTGTTCCCGGGCAGAGCGGGGGCTGGGGGCCAGGGCCTCACTCATTCTGCCTGTGCTGTGTCCCCAGGGTTCTCATCGGTGCACAAGAACATGCCCACTGTGGCCGGGGGGCTCCGCTGGGCACAGGAGTTGAGGCAGCGCATCCAGGGGCCCTTCGACAACTTCAAGCGCATCTCCCATCCGTGAGTAACTGGTTCCAGAAAGGCGGGTTCGGTTTAGGCTTCAGCTCCTGCTCTGGAATTTTGAGTGTTGGAGAAACGCAACTCACTCAGCTCAGGCATGAAAATTCATCTTCATTTGCATACTCAGCAATAGACCAGCATCTCAGTCCATTTGTGCTGTTACACAGAATACCATAGACCAGGTGGTCTACAAACACCAGAAACATTTCTCACAGCTCTGGAGGCTGGGAAGGTCCAAGGTCACGGTGCCGGCAGATGTGGTGTCTGGCGAGGGCCCACCCTGGCTCACAGATGGCTTCTTTTTTCTTTTCTTTTCTTTTTTCTTTTCTTTTCTTTCTTTCTTTCCTTCCTTTCCTCCTCTTCCTTTCTCTTTCTTTTTCTTTCTTCCTTCTTTCTCTTTTTCTTTCTTTCTTTCTTTCTTTCAAGATTTTATTTATTTGACAGAGACACAGCAAGAGAGGGAACACAAGCAGGGGGAGCGGGAGAGGGAGAAGCAGGCTTCCTGCAGAGCGGGGAGCCCGATGTGGGGCTCGATCCCAGGACCGAGATCATGACCTGAGCCGAAGGCAGACGCTTAACTACTGAGCCACCCAGGCGCCCCAGATGGCTGCCTTCTTATTGTGTCCTCCTAGGGCAGGAGGTGTGGGGGACCTCTGTGGAGCCTCTACTTAACTTGTATACTAGTCCCTTCGTGAGAGCTCCCCCCTCTTGGCCTAACCACCTGTCAAAGGCCCCACCTCCTAATGCCATCCCATCGGGGGTTAGGATTTCAACATATGAATTTTGGGGTGAGGGGGCGCAAACATTCGGGAGTGAGATCGATACATTTGGACTAATTGGGGGCCCCTTGGTGTCAACTGAGGCTTAAAGGATGACCGGCTGTCTCTTCTTGCTCCATGAGATTGGTTTCTAGAAGTAAATGAGTCAAGCTTTTCAAGCTCCGTGGGGTTCTACCAACACATCTCTGACACCACGTCTCCCCTCTCCTAAGGTTGCGGGAAAACAATGAAGCCTGAGTTTCCTAAAGCGTGGTGTGAGGACTCTGCCTATTAGCGTACCCTGGGCTGTTGTTAAATGCAGATTCCTAGGCCTCACCTCCCATGCCAGAATCCGAATCTTGAAGCGGGGTGGGGCCTATGAATCCATGTCCTTAGCAAGCTCCTTGCTGCGATTCCGAAGGTTGGCCAGGTTTGGAAACCGTTGGCCTGCCGCTCAGCCGAGCCTGGAAGCCAAGCCAGGTATAGAAGCACCTCAGCTGCTAGAAGGGAGAGACAGAACTGTTTGCAGGATCGCGTTCAGGATGCTTCGAGGAAGGGCAGTCTCTCTGAACCCCTCTTTCTAAAGAACTGTGTCGAGGGTACTCAAAACAGAAACAGAGGGACTGACGGGGAGACACTGGTCTCACAGGTGTTCTGGCACCAGGTAGGGCTTTAGGGACGGTCTGGCCCAGGTGGTAAGACTGAACGCTTTCAGAGGCCCAGAAGATGATGCAAGACAGCCAGGATGGGGTCCAATGGGGGTCACCCCCGCCCCATCCGGTGCCGCCCAGTGGAAAAGCAAGACTCAGTATGAGCCATCTGCTGATTCCGAGAGAAGCTGAAAATTGGGAGGTGGATGTCAAGTGGCCAACTTTAGAATTAGCAAGTATCCCCCCCCCTTTCCCCAAACTGCGCACAGATCAGATAAACAGGCCTGCAGGTCAGGTGGGCCCAGCAGGCAATCCATTTGCAACATCTGATGGGGCCTGAGCTAGCTGAGCTCTGTTTTGCAGAGGAAGAAACTGAGGGGAAACAGACAGGCCTACCTTCCCAGGGCGAGCCCAGAAAGAACTGGAACCATCTGGGGCTCAGGAGTCCCCAGCCACAGGAACCCTGGCCCTGAGTGCTGCTGAGCCCTCATCTTCTCAGACCTGACGGTGGATGTGGGCTGGCCCAGGGGAGGGGCTGCCGCTGTTCCCCGCGCGCGAGAGAGGCAGCTGCACTTTATCAGCCGCCAACATCGGTGGCCGATGGCGATGGAAGGGTGGTTAAGAGTGCCCGCGCCTGGAGCAGGGATCTGAATGGCACCCCAAAGTGTCTTCTACAGTTCCCCTGAGAAGTCGCATTTGTTTAAAAATGAATTCACAGTCGTACTGTATCCTATCACATACACCTGACCCTTGAACAACACGTTTTGAACTGTGCGTGGATTCACTTACACCCAGATTTTTTTTTTCTTTTCTTTCTTTCTTTCTCTTTTTTTGCTACAAAGTTTTATTCTTTCCATTTGGTCCAGGGCTTGGGCAAGGGCTCCAGGGTGGTTAAAACCTGCCTAGTGGATGCAGGGAAAGATAGATTCAGGCAGAAGCCCTGACACCAGGGGACTACGCGAGAAGGACCCCTCAAGGGCACCAGGCTCCGGAAGCTCCTCGGAGTGCTTGAGAGTGAGCCCTTCCAAGGGGAAGAGCCACCTGCCCAGCCCAGCGTGGGTGCAGCCAGCCTGCGGAGGTGCGGCAGGTGCTCATGGTCTTCTTGAGAAGTTTCACCTGCTCATCTAGGAAGTGGTTCTCCGGGATTCACGGAGGTGGGGGTCTGCGCAGGCAGAACCCAGGGCCGGCGGACCCGGAAGGACCTGGTTCAAGTTCTTGTCCAGTTCCTCGGCAGCTTCCATGGCATCGTAGGTTTTACCCTTTACATCTTAGGCCACATCATTGAAGTAGAAGCCTGGAGGGAGGGAGGTGTAGGTGGTCTGCAGGTGTAGGCTGACCAGGCGGCAAACGGTGGCCTCCACGTGGGTGGAGTAAATCTGATGAACCTGGGAGCTCGTGGTTGGTCAGCAAGAAGGAGCCAAGCTCAGGGGATGGCTGAGAAGATGGTTCCAAAGCTTGAGATTGGGAAAGAGGTCGGAGGGGGGGTGGGAGGCTGGAAGAAGGGGTGGTGCCAGGTCTGTCCCCGGCACACACCGCTGAAGCAGGAGACAGATCCGGGGGCTGCTGGGCGCGCTGCCTAGACAGTTTTTACGGTGCTGTAAATGTATTTTCTCTTCCTTATGATTTTCTTAACGTTTTCCTCTGCCTAGTCTCCTTTATTGTAAGCATACAGTATATAATGCATGTAATGTGGGAAATATGTGTTCATTGGCTATTTATGTTATTGGGAAGGCTTCCGGTCAACAGTTGCTATTAGTAGTCAGGTTTTTAGGGAATCATAAGTTATGGGCAGATCTTTGCATGGAGGTTGGCGTCCCTAACCCCCGTGCTGTTCAAGGGTCAACTGTACATACAAATGGGTTCCTAAGAATGTTTTCCATTCCTCACCATGAAGGGAAGTAGAACCTACGGGGAGTGTACATTTACTCCTGTGATTTATCAAACTTCCAGGCGCCTGGCACGGGCCCTGGTGTGGGAAACCGTTGTCCCGTCTGGTTGCCTTCTCCTCCAGAAACAAAACTGAGATCTGGGGTTTGGGAGCTTGCAGAAATCCCACAGCTCATGAGGGTAGGGCTGCGGGGGGAGCCGGCCCACCTGGTCCGAAGCCCTTTCCACGTCTCCTTGCTGCCTGGACAGACACATCTGCTCATTCACCAGGAAAGGGGACTAAGCGACTGGAAGAAAAAAAAAGCCCTCCAGGAAATCCAGTGCTTTCTGTGCAGGCATGAGGGCTTACACTGAAAGCTCAGGAGATCTGGTGAAGAAACCTTGTATCGGTTTAAAGACCAAATAGATTTTTAAAAATCTTCGCAATAAGCTGCTTCATTTTGCCAGCAGAACAAACAAAAACAGACCCTCTGACACTGTTCATGTGAAGGTCCTGAAAAGTGCAGATACTTCACCAATTTCCCCAGAGGCTGGTCTCTTCATTTTGTGTTGCAAAGGAGCATCAAAACCAGGTAACGGTGCGGGTAACTAACAGTGCCTGCAGCCAGACTCTGCTTCCGTTCCTCTGGGGCTCCCAGCATCCCCGTGGAAGCCTCTGTGTGTGTGTGTGTCCGTGCATGCATGCACGAATGTGCATCGGTGTGCTCACATTTGGGGGCCTAAGAGGTGGGAGGGGAACCTTGTTTAGACACGTCCATGAGTAATGAGAAGAAGGGTTTGTCATCCCATGTTCTGGAAGGATTTCAGAGAAATGTATGTGGGTGTGTTATTATATATGTATATACACATATATAAAACATTGTTTAATGTTACATAGTTCTGTTACAATGTTATAACGCATATATTATATAGTTTTTTTTCCTTAAATACAGCAAACACCTAGAATTTTCCTCTCGTGTCTCAATTTCCCTTTCATTGAGATTTTGGAAGGACTTCACTTACCCATGCGTGACTGGCTGGGCTAGGGGTGGGTGGTGGCCGTGTTCCACCACCCCTGTCACCTGGGGGGCTGCCTGAATTTCAGGAAGTGCAGGTGCCCTCTGGTGGCCGGTGGGTGATGTTCCCAAGGAAGGCGGCGGGCTCATTGAGGGGCTTTTGGAAACCGGCCCAAGAAGCTATTCAATCTGTTCTTTATAGGCTCCAGTTGGTTACTTAGATCATTCTTTTGACGTCTTCTGAATGGATGCCATTTCTTCTTCTCTTTTGTGGGGATAGTTGCATGGACTCTGCCGAAGGAAAGCGAATGACCCAGAAATATGAAGATACGCTCTCACTGCTGGAAAAGTAAGCAGCTTCCGGGATTGCATTGTTCTGCAAATGGCATAGCCCCCCCCCCCCCCCCCCCCCCGTGAGGCCTTTTGTGGTTCTGGGTTTGTGCAGATTCCCCCCCGGGCGAGGGGCGGGGGTGCTGTGTCTTATGATGGAACCAGGATGTCTGTGAGTAGGGCGCTTCTGGGTCACCGACACAGGGTCTCTGGGGAGGGCAGCTCCGTGCTCGGAACAGACACTTTCCAGGGTAGTTTTGTTGGGAGCGTGAACTCGGCAGAGCTAGAGGAAGTAGGGCGCTCCTCATGGCACCTTGAGATCGGTGTCACGGAAAATCACAGCAGCTGCTCGTTAAGCAGAATGCAACCGTCTGTGCTGCAGAAAGAGAAAATGAGTTTTAGAAACAGTTCCTGGGTCCTTTCGGAGAAAACACGAGAACGACAATTAACGTGGACTCTTAGTTGTCCCTGCGCTGAAGCCGCGGTAAGTCTTTTGCGGGCACAGTTTCAGCCGCCCACGCTGCCGCGCGGTTAGCAGATCCCCAGTCCAATGATGTCGGCACATCCCCTGGCTGGGGGGCCCTTCAGTGTCTCCCCCCGCCCCCCGACTCTTGTCTGTGTCGCGTGAAGCGCAGTCCCTGTGGCCTTCACCCCCCTCTCCAGCCTTGGCCCTTGCCCCCTCTGGCCTCAGGCGTTCCCAGATCCCAGCCCACCCTTTCTCACCTCTGCTGAGAGCGTGCATTTCCCTCTCACTGTCCTACCTCTGCTCATCCTCTGAGACTCGGTCAAGCCTCCCCACGGCCCCTCATCCATGAAGCCTTCCCGGGATTCTCCTCATCACACACTCAGCCCTGCCATTAGATGCCGAACGCCCTGTCCATCTCTCCAGGATTGTACTTCTGTATTTTCTGTTTACCCATGCTCCACAGCATTAGCTGCCTTGACCATGGGGTGTTGATTCATCACGTTGTCCCTCAATCCCAGCATGTGGGAGGGGCTCAGCGTGTAACAACCTAGCGATGGACGTCTTGGGCTGCATGAAGATTAGTGTGAGAGCAAATCTTTGCCAATAACTTCTTCCAATGTTTACTGAGACTAATCACAATTCCCCTTATGCCCTGCAAAGATTGCACAGAGCCTTTCTTTCTACTCTCCTCTGATTTAAGCTGGGCCACCTTTCGAAATGAGGTGTTACCTGCAGGAGCTTACATGCCTGGCAGAGCCACTGACTCTAAGTTAAGAATGGATTCAGAGAGGGGTGCCTGGGTGGCTCAGTGGGTGAAGCATCTGCCTTCAGCTCCAGTCATGATCTCAGGGACCTGGGATCGAGTCCTGCGTTGGGCTTCCTGCTCAGTGGGGAGTCTGCTTCTCCCTCTCCCTCTGCCCTACCCCCCCTTGTGCTCGCTCTCTCTCTCTCTCTCTCGCTCACTCTCTCAAGTAAATAGAAATCTTTAAAAAAAAATGAATTCAGGTATTTTACCAATAGTATCTTCAGTTCATGATATACATGTGCACATAAAGATACATAGATATCTGGGTTATGTATATGTTAAGATATTTCTGTCTTCAGTTGGGCATTGCCAGATACCGGGAGGGTGAGTAAGAGGTGACTGTTGTCTCTGGTTCTGGCAGGTACGAGACAAGACTTTATGAGGACTGGTGTCAGACAGTGTCAGAAAAGTCACAGTACAATCTTTCCCGGCCACTCCTGAAACGGGACTCAGAGACGAAGCAGATTGCCGTCAACTTTAACCCCCAGGTAAGTCAGGCAGCAGGAACTTCCTTTTGGGTTCCTGAAGGGACTCCTTTAACTCTACTGATTTCCAAGGCAAAAAGGCTTTTTATAAGAATATGCAGAAGCTGCTGAGAAGAATTTCCACCCTGGATCTCCTGTTGGGGATGAATCCTGTGGTGCGGTGTTTTCTCAAGTTGTCCAATGTCCACCTTTTGCTCCACAGTTGGCCAATAGATTTGTGTTGATTTTGCACAACAGAAGATATTGCAAAATAATTTTTTAAACTTTCCTATGTGTGTAATAAGAGCTTTATGGTGAACTTGACTTCAGACACAAAGTTAGAATGGCAGTTACACTCAAGATGAACTCATCTGAAAGTTTATCATATTCTAGATAGACACCATCTAGAATTCCAGAAGGTATATTTATTTAAACAGGTAATAGATATTGCTCCCCATCTTTGGACAGATGGGGTAACAGCATTACCATGTAGTACCAAACAGTTGACTCCATCTACCTTGAATGCATGCTGCACATGAAGGCCGTTGACTAGACACGGGAGGGCCAATCCAGTATAAGACCCCATTCCTGCCCTCAAGGAACCCACCAGCTAGTTGGGAGCTAGAACCTCAACATGCAAAGTTGTATCTTTATTAGATCATATATGATACGTCACAGAGGAGTAGCTTTGGAAAGAAGACTGTAGATGACTGCTCCTCAACGGAGGCAGTTTTGTCCCCCTGGAGACACTTTGGGTTGTCAAATATGGACTGGATGCCAATGGCGTAGGGTGGTGAGTAGATTCTAAGAATGTTGCTAAGCTTCCTAACAATGCACAGGACAGCACTCCACAACCAAGAGTTTTTGTCTGAAAATGTCAGTAGTGCTGAGGTTGAGAGAGTCTGCTCTATATGGTCAGAAGAGCAGAAGACCCTTATGCAGCATGGAAAACACAGGCTGGAGAACATGAAAACCAAAAGCTAGTCCATATCTGGAAGTATAGCAGGAAAAAAATTTTCAAAAGCGTAGGCTGCCCCGAGCCAAAAGCAATTGCCTACTTCTGTCTCAATGGCATGATCTCCAGGAATGCAGCATATAGAGAGAGCCGGAAACAGAGCTGATAGCATGTGAGTGTCTTTTGAGAAAATTACAGTTTAAGTAGAACATCAATTCCGACTGGAATCAAAGTCAGCAGAGGGAGTTGGACGGTCCACTTCTTCACTTGGATATGACATGAGCCTGTCATTTAACTCACTTAACTCCTTGGCATAATTTTATCAGCATTCACTGTGAGCAATGTTGAATGTTAAATGCCCAAAGTGAGGAGTTTCTGGATTTCCAACTAGGCCACAGTCTAGATGTTATAATTGTAGGAATGCAGCCCTCAGGATGAGACCATATTGAGAATGGACCACTCCTCCTCCGTATACTCCAGAGCAAGGACTCTCTCTGCCCCAGTGCACAGCAGGTGGTAGGTGCTTTATAGGTGTTCACAGGTGAGAGGAGGAGAGGAAATTAATACCTGAATTATAAAGTGAGTCAAGGGGAGACAACCAAATGCACAAGTCAAAGAAGAGCTGCAAACATCACTTAGCTCCAGCTTCGAGCCATGTGACAATGGCTGTGCTAGTAAGAATGAATAGAAACATATTCTAGAGGGACATGATCAGATTTGCCCCTTTGGGGCCAGGATAGCAATTATATGGGAAAAATATATATATATTTGTAAATTACTTCTTTAAACTATTTTAAATTCCCTATCGGCATTTAAGTTATTTTCTAGTTTTATCAATCTGTATTTCATTGATCATAGGATGCACTTTTTTTTTTTTTTACATCTTGGCGTCTCTGAAAATGGCACGTGTTTGTAGCTTAACACACCACATTTTTTTCTTTCCTCTTTAGTTGGACATGATAATGTCCAACTAAATAATAGTGAATCTTACCACTGAAGACATCTTATGATGAAATAAAATACAGTATAAATAATGCTACAGGAAAGATCTTTAGTTATTGTTGCATCCATCCTCAATGGTTCCTTTGGAATAAATGTCTCAGAAATGGGATAAAGGATGTTCCCATTGTGAGAATTCACATGTGCATTATCAATTTGGTCTTGGAAGATGGAACTCTGTTATTTTCCTACCAGAAAGATATCATCCATTTCTTCAAATCACTTCCAGCCTCTTGAACTAAATATATATATATATATATATAATATCTCAGCATTGTTTTAATTTGTATTTGTTTGACCACTAGTAAAGTGGAACTTTCTCATGTGTTCATTGGGCAGTTATAGTTCCTCTGTGAATCGCTTGTTCATGTCTTCCTCCCACTTTGGAGTGGAAGTGCCCTCTTTTCCTCTGAATTTGTTAGAATATTTGGGAAATATGTGTCAGATATTAAATCTGTTGCATATGTTTGTTTTCGTATTTTGTCAGTTGAGGTGTGCCATTTTATTATATGAATGATACTTTATGCTTATAAATTTTACCTTTTATTTTCTGGTTGTATGTTCGGAAGGGCTTTCTCTGCCTCGGTATTATATAAGTAGCCTCCAGGCTTTAATTTTTTGTTTTCAGTTTTTACATTTAAATTTTTAATATCTATCTTGAGCTTATTTCAAAATAAGCTAGGAGGCTGAGCTCCTTTCCCTGCCGAATGGTTAGCATTTGCCTTAACCCTGAGGAGGGTTGGCTGGGCAGCAGTGAAGCATTGGCCTAGAACCATTGCAGGGAGAGTAAGAGCCCAGGTGTCTCCATGCAGAGGTGGGGTGGAGGGGATCAGAAGGGGGTGGGGAGAATCTATGGCCTGGTATCTGTTTTGCCACCCATACCTATACACATCAGTCCTCATAGGTTCAGAGGTAAACAGGATAAATAAACAAAGGGTGTGGGGCACCAGGGTGGCTCAGTTGATTGAGCGTCTGACTCTTGATTTCAGCTCAGGTCATGATCTCAGGGTTGTGGGATGGAGCCCCATGTTGGACTCCGTGCTCAGGGCAGAGTCTGCTTATTCTTCTCCCCCTGCTCCTCCCTGACACTCTCTCTCAAATAAATAAATAAATAAAATCTTAAAAAAAAATAAAGGGTGAAGACCAGGATGCCTAAAAGCCCAGCCAAAGGCCTCTTTTTCCATTGGATCACATCTGCTTGGCCTGTCACTTGGGCAGTTCCACTAAACTTAGCACCCACAGAAGTTCAGAGAGGCCTGGGTGACTTCCATTTCCTAGTATATTAAAATCCAAAGGCAAGATGGCGGAGGAGTAGGAGACCTGGATTTCGTCTGGTCTCAGGAATTCAGCTGAATAGGGATCAAACCGTTCTGAACACCTACGAACTCAACAGGAGATCGAAGAGGAGAGTAGCAACAACTCTCTGAACAGAGAAGCGACCACTTTCTGGAAGGTAGGGCGTGCAGAGAAGTGAATCCGAGGCGATATTCGGGAGGATAGACGGCGGGGGAGGGGGCCTCCGTCGGCCGCTTCTGGCAAGTGCTAGAGCCGCGGGGCACAAAATCGGAACTTTGAGAAGTGGGCTCCGCGGAGGTACGTCGCTGCAGTGGCTAAGCGGGAGGTGGAACCCTCGCGGGACAGTGTGGTCTCAGGACCCTCGGGGTCACAGAAAGACCGGGGGTGCCTGAGTGCGGCAGAGCTCCCAGGTATCGGAGCGGGGAAGCCGGCTGCAGAGACGGAGCCGAGGCTCGGGCTCTCAGCTCGGGGTTGCCATAAACTGTGATCTGCGGCCCAGTCGGGCCACTGCTCCTCCAGCAGGGACCCAACAAGCGGCAGAGCTGGGGAGACTCCCCTCCCTCCCCCGGGAGGAGCGGCGCAGGAGCGCACCACAGTGATCTGCTGGGTTTGGAGACGCCACACGGGGTCGGGTGCCAGAGATAGAAACGCTCGGTCACAGGCCGGGTGAGCACGGAGTGCGGCCAGAGATTGGGGAGATGGGAGTGACTGCTTTTCTCTGGGGACACACTGAGGAGCGAGGCCCCGAGTTCTCAGCTCCTCCGGGTGGAGATTGGGAGGCCACCATTTTCACCGTAGTCCCCCAAAGCTGTACCGAGAGCTTGCAGGGAACAAAAGCTCCCGAGAGCAAACCGGAGCAGCTTGCTTAGCCCGGACCGACAAGGGCGAGACAATTCCGCCTCCGGCAAAGACATTTGGGAACCATGGCAACAGGCCCCTCCCCCAGGAGATCAGCAAGAACAGCCAGCAAGCCAAGACCAAGTTTACTGATCAAGGAGAATGGCAGAACTCCAGAGCTAGGGGAATACGGCACATAGAATTCATGGCTTTTTTTACCATGATTCATTAGTCTTTCAAAGTTAATTTTTTTAACTTTTTTTAATGAATTTTTCTTTTTCCCTTTTTCAACCAACATCTTAATCCCTTTCTTAAACATTTTTATTGTCATATTCTATCCCTTCATAGTAGTTACCCTTGTATTTGGCATATATATATATAAGTTCTCTCTTAAAAATCTTGAGATACAGTCTCTTCTAACAGATCAAAATATACCCTAAATCTCTAGTGTATGGCTTTGTTCTAGTCTCCTGCCTGATCACATTCGCTCCCCTTTTTTTTCTTTCTTTTTTTTTAATCCTCTCTTTTTTCAAACACCTTCTTATCAATTCCTTTTTAAAATTTTTTATAATTTTCATCTTTACAGTCATATTCCATCCCTTCATCTTATCAACCCTCATTTTGTACATATATAAGTCTTTCTTTCTTTGAAGTTTTAGGAGGCACTTTCTTCTAACAGACTAAACTGCACCCAAAATCTAGTGTGTGACACTGATCTATGCACCAGCCTGATCATATGTGATCATATTCTGTTTCTTTTGTTTTGTTCTGTTTTTGTTTGTTTTTATCTCTTTTTTTTCCTCTTTCTTTTTCCTTTCTTTCCCTTTCTTTCCCCCTGGTTTCAGGTCTTTTCTGATTTGTTTAGAGTATATTTCTGGGGACGTTGTTACCCTGTTAGCATTTTGTTCTCTCATTCATCTTTTCTCCTCTGGACAAA